GATGCCTTCTGGGTTGCGGGGAAGTGGGGAGGGAGATTCACATTTGGCGGTCTCTTGCTAAGATTATGTGAAGTATATTATCAGGTCTATATTTTGTTTTGTTTTGTTTTCGATATGGAGTCTCCCTCCGTCCCCCAGGCTGGAGTGCAGTGGTGCGATCTCGGCTCACTGCAACCTCCGCCTCCCAGGTTCGAGCAATTCTCCTGCCTCAGTCTCCTGGATAGCTGAGATTACAGGCACACATCACCATGCCTGGCTTATTTTGTATTTTTAGTGGAAACGGGGTTTCCCCGTATTGGCCAGGCTGGTCTCAAACTCCTGACCTCAGGTGATCCACTCGCCTTGGCCTCCCAAAGCACTGGGATTACAGGCATGAGCCACTGTGCCTGGCCTATCAGGTCTATTTTCATGTTTTGTTTTTGTTTTTGTTTTTTGTCTGTTTGTTTTGACAGAGTCCCGCTTTGTTACCCAGGCTGGAGTATAGTGGCATGATATGAGCTCACTGCAACCTCTGCCTCATGGTTCAAGTGATTCTCCTGCCTCAGCCTCTCAAGTAGCTGGGACTGCAGGTGTACACCACCATGTCTGGCTAATTTTTGTATTTTTAGTAGAGACAGGGTTTCACCATGTTGGCCAATCTGATCTTGAACTCCTGACCTCAGGCGATCCACCCACCTTGGCCGCCCAAAGTGCTGGGATTATAGGCATGAGCCACTGTACCCGGCCTATTTTCATGTTTTTTTAGACAACTACATGCAAGAGAGGCATCTATCTTAGACTGTAGCATTTTGGTAAACTTTTAGACTTAATCTTAGCCCTAGACCTAATCTCAGACCTCTGTTGGGGTAAGGTCTGTGAACTTTTTTGAAAATTTCAGCCAAATGTTATGTGAATGTGCAGGAGTGTGTTTTCTCAGGGGAGAGGGGCCATGGTTTTTAGCAGATTGTCAAGAGTGTTCAGGACCTCCCCAGATTTAAGAAGCATGCTCTACCTGAGCCGTCTAATATAGTTGCCATTGGCCACAGATAGCTATTTAAATTTAAATTTAAATTAGTTAAGATTAAATTCAGTGACTCAGTCATACTAGTCGACTTTCAAATGCTTGTCAGCCACATGTGGCTAGTGGCTTGTGGCTTATGTATTGGACAGTGCAGATAGCATTTCTGCCATCACAGGAGGTTCTATAGGACAGTGCTGGGAGCCAGCCTTAGAGTGACCCTATGTGGTCCCTGAACCCTCACCAAGGGCTCTTTTTAGGTTGGGGAAATAGCTTCTGAATTGGCAGATCTCAGGGTTTGGGATCCCAGCCCCCATCCCAACGTAAGTGGTGAGGTCTCTGGACAGTACTTTCCTGGGTTCTAACCCACCGCACAGTCCACTGCTTCTCCTTGAAGGCACGGCCATGCTTTACTTGTCTGCTATGGGAGAGCACAGGGACAGGAGTGAGGTGATGTGCACCACCCAGAGGCTGTCTGGATCCCTAGTGGGGAAAATGACTCCTCCCTACCTACAGTCTTGGTCAGTAGCCCCACTGAGCTGTGTTCATGTTGACTTACAGCTCCAAACTTACCTCCTGGGTCCTGCCAGAGTTTTCCTCTCTGTCGTGGGTTTTCTTGTTCTGGAAAGGACAATGTGGTGACTGGGTGGGCCAGAAGACCAGGTCCAGGGTCTCAGGAGTTGTCACTAATTTTCCACTCCATTCCCCTTCACTTCTTTACAGCTCCTTTTTGGAATGAGGGGACGATGCTCAGGAAGAGAGGGGGTATTGGAAAGGAAAGAGACCCCTTCATCTTCCTTTTGAGCCCTGCTGCAACCTGGCTGGCTGTTTCTGGGAGAGCCCTTTAGAGTTACTGTGGGCGTCTGCCTTTGTCTGTGCAGGGCATAGGCACTGCACAGTTGTCACACCCAGGGTAGACAAATCCCTTGGTGGCCTTGTCTCCTGTCATTTGCATAGGAAATCTGATAACCTAAGATTCTTATTTTTTTTATTTTGAGACAAGAGTCTCGCTCTGTCTCCTAGGCTGGAGTACAGTGGCATGACCTTGGCTCACTGCTACCTCCAATCCTGGATTTGAGCGATTCTTTTGCCTTAGCCTCCCAAGTAGCTGGGATTACAGGCAGGCACCACCACACCTGACTAATTTTTGTATTTTTAGTAGAGACAGGGTTTCGCCATGTTGGCCAGGCTGATCTTGAACTCCTGAACCTCAGGTGATCTGCCTGCCTCAGCCTCCCAAAGTGCTGGGATTACAGGCATGAGCCACCATGACTGGCTGGATAACCTAAGTTTTTGTTAACCACTGAGGGAAGGGTCAAAAAGAAGGCTGGCAGCCCATTGTAGGATCACTGGCTGGCCTTCGGGTGGCCACAGGTATGGGGGTTTGTTGCCTGCTTGCTTCAGGTAGCACAGGTATGCAGCTGGGGCACTGTTGATGGCCGTTCCTCCACTGCTGGCTGTGACTTGTATGAATTCTAGCTCTGTTGTGTCCTACCTCTACCATACCTAACGAGGGTGTTAGTAGACAAAATAAGGCACCTCTCACTGCTGTTACAGCAGCAATTCTAGATTCTCAGAATGGATGGGGAGTTGCATTGGATGGAAATATTTGGTGGTATTGGCCAGACTGTAGGTCCCCCATGCCTCCTGCCCCTCCTAATTTTTTTTTTTTTTTTTTTTTTTTTTTTTTTTTAGACAGAGTCTCGCTCTGTCGCCCAGGCTGGAGCCAGGCTGGAGTGCAGTGGCCGGATCTCAGCTCACTGCACTGGGTTCACGCCATTCTTCTGCCTCAGCCTCCCGAGTAGCTGGGACTACAGGCGCCCGCCACCTCGCCCGGCTAGTTTTTTGTATTTTTTAGTAGAGACGGGGTTTCACCGTGTTAGCCAGGATGGTCTCGATCTCCTGACCTCGTGATCCACCCGTCTCGGCCTCCCAAAGTGCTGGGATTACAGGCTTGAGCCACCGCGCCCGGCCGCCTGCCCCTCCTAATTACTGCTGGTTCGGGGAAGTCTCAGGAAAGGAGTATGGAGATGCTGGGTCAAAAAGAAGTAACAAAGTATTAGACTAGAGTCTGCTCCACTGCTGAGTTTTTCTTGTGGGGAGAACATGGGTGGCTCTCTCCTGTCTTATTTTTTATTGATTGATCCACCCTTTAAGGTAAGCTCTGTGTGCCCCAGTTCCCTTAATGATGCTGGGAATGATCCTGGAGCTCTAGAAGAGAGAGGGACGGCAGATTCTTACTGTGAGGGCTGGGTCCCGCCTGTACTGTGTTCATGCTGCAGGATGGGGTGAGGTGCAGTGAGGGGAGAGGGGGGTGTGAGGGCCAGTGGGAGAAGAGCTGGTGCCAGGAGGACAAGGAGAGAGAGACACCTTCTTGGTGTATCCTGGGTCCCAGGATCTACAAGGTCCCTTGTACTGGAGGTGGCCAGCCCCTCTCCCTGGTGCTGCTTCAGTTTCCCAAGGCAGGACCTCATCTGCTTTGACCTACAGACAGGCAGGTGGCTCTCCTGGCCCCATTCAGCAAACCTTGGCTGGGACTAGCTGTTTGCCGGGTGCCGCACTGAGTCTGAGCGGTAAGTAAAGGGAGGCATGTTAAGTCTGTCTGTCCTTAATGATCTTGCCGTCTGGGGAAGGAGACAAGCATGGAAACAAATAATTACAGTACATTCTGATAGGGCTAAAAGGGAGGGATGCCTCGAGGGCAGAGACTGGGCTTAGTTACCTTTGGGCCATAGAGCCCAGCCAGGAAGGGAAGGGACATGTCTTGAGAGTATAGTGACATGTGAAGGATGAGGAGGAGAAGGTCTTCCAGGAGGGGGAAGCACCTCCCTGATCTTGCAGTGTGTAGAGATGCTACCTGATGCTGGCAGCAGGGGTGTGGAAGGATGAGGACAGATTGCTGGGTACCGCCTGAGGATCCTAGAGGTGGAAGGTTAGATGCTTTGTGTTAATTCCTCTTGAAAGTCTTCTGCTAGGGCTATACCCAGGTTTCTAGCTCAGCATTCATGCCCCACCTTCTCAACAGCGCCATACAGCCGCTTGTTATCTGCTTAGGTCCTAGAACATTTGGTGGTTCAAGGCTGTTGAATTTGGGGCGAGGAGACCGTGACAAGGTTCACAGACTATAAGACCTTTTCACAAGCATCTTGAAGGGCATGTAGGGTATAGGCAGAGTGTCACCTGCTACCTGTCAGTCTGGGAGGCCCTGGATGCATGCTGTTTGCTGGTAGGAAGCACGAAGATGGAGTTGTTGGCTGGCTCCGACTTGTTTCCCTTGAGTGTTGCTGGGTGCCTTGGTTCAGTCTGGTTCTGCTGCATCTCCAAGGAGAGGAGCATCTTTTCTTCTGTTGCTGCTGCTCCTCCTCCTCCTCAGCCTCCTCCTCCCTGTGATTGTCGTTGACACAGACTTCCGCTGCCAAAGCTAATTGTGAGGCCTGATCAGTGAATGAAGGCAAAGGCAGTTCCCATGACAACCGCAAAGAGTTTCAAATATAGGGGATGATGTGTGTGTGATGGGCGGCAATTACTTGGGTGGAAATTGATGCGTGGACACCGGGGACTTCAAACATAGGCTCTGAAGGTGGAGGGGGTGTTGGGTTTTTTTTGGCAGGATCCTTTGTGTGATGGAGAGAAAAGGAGGTCACAGACTTCCCTCATAGTCAATTCCAAGTGCCTTCAGTGTGTGGAACGTAGGCATAGCCCTGCAGGGGCTTTGGAGAGGCACAGCTCCAGTCATTCTGGTTGGGGATGCAGGACACACAGAGAGACAAATAACAGTACCAGGGGTGAGATAAGAAATGTTAGAAGTGCTGTTGGTTGGCAGAAGACTGGTGTAATCAGAGAAGGCTTCCTGGAGGAAGCAGGGCTTAAACTGAGCTTTGAAGTAAAGCCCTGTGAAGAGTGACCTCATTCAGGACACAGCCATGGTGAGAGAGGATGAGAAGCCTGTCTCTCTCTACCCTCTACCAGCTCTAGAAGAGGTAGGTGGATATGAAAATCATAGAGCAACACAGAGCAGCCTTGGCTGTGCTGCTGCAAGTGAAGGGGTGGCAAGAACCCTGTGCATTCATTTTCTGGCTCTGTGATCTTGGGCAAGGTACTTAGCCTCTCTGTATCCCAATTCTTCATCAGTTAAATGGGCACAAATATTTCCTGTCTCATTGGTTTGTTTAGAGAGTTAAGTAAGATGTACAGTGTATCATGCTGTAGGTGTGGGGCCTGACGTGGGGTTGGTGCTTGGTTGATTTCTTGTAAATCCCCCCAAGAATGTGTCTGGTCATGTCTGTGTTCCGTGGTCTTTGAATACCTCTGTGGAATCCAGCCTGTGGGTATCCATGTTCCTGAGGGTCTCAGTGTTAGGACATTTTGTGTGTCCTGGAAGCGAGTAAATCCATTCACCTCTCCAGTGGGGAGGGCTGTGGCCCCATTCCTCCTGCTGGGAGCACAGTAGGGTCTGGGGGTTGTGATGGAAGGTGCGGAGGGGAGGGACACTTGGCCCCCTTGCAGAGGGGTTCTAAGTACCTGTGAGTGGTCACTGTGAAGTGCAAAATTTAGAAAAGGGGGCAGATAGAGATGGGAGGAGGATCAAGAGGGGAGTGGAGAGCATACCGGCTGGAGGCAGAGTAGCCCTGGCATGCACCTCTGTGACTCCCTTGAGCCCAGGCATTCCATGAGCCTCAGAAGAGGGAATGAGGCCAGGGTGAGATGGGGTCGGGAGCAGGTGGACTGCCTGGGGGACTATGGGCTCCTCTTCTGGGCTGCTTCTCTGGTGTAGCCGAGGGCTGCTGGAGGGCAGGGTGGGGACCTGTGTTTGGGGTAGGACTGAATTACACAGGGAAGTGAGTGGAGCCAGGAGTTGGGGTGGGAACTGGGCTCTGTGGCTCCTTCAGGCTGCTGAGGAAGATAGGTGCTGGTTGAGCAAGTCTGGGAGTAGATCACAGTTCAGTTCTGGCAGGTCCTGCCCTCCCAGGACAGCGGGTGTCCCTCAGAACCTTGAGGACCTCAGGGAGAAGACTGACCAGGAGGGGGCCTCCACATCTCAGTGCCCAGCCCCCTGCCTCTCCACCCTCCTTGTGTAGAAACTTGGCTCAGCACATTCCAGCTCTGTGCAGAGCCTAGGAAAGTAGGGAAGACAGGGCCCCTGCCCACGTGGGAGGACTGCCGTGTAAATAAATAACTACGCTTCATTGTGACTGGTGCCCTGGAAGAAGCAGTACACTGCTCTGTCAGGACCTGGGAGGAGCGGATGATGCTCATGGGAGCTTGGCGATCTGAGAAACTGGCAGGGGGAGGCAATGTTTAAACTAAGTCTTGTACCACATTAGCTTGCCAGGTCGGGGGAGGTGGAGAGGGATCCAGGCAGAAAGAGCAGCACCAGGAAGTCTCTGAGGCATGAAAACATTGCTAGATCCATAGCTTAAAGGGAAGTGATTGGGTTCAAGTGACCTCGGTCTTCTTTGTATCTCCCTGGGGTTGGCAGAGGCGGACAGAACTTAGAGAATTGGAAAGAGAAGGACCTAGATTTGAATTCCAGCCCACCACTCACCAGCTGTGTTGACAGGCAAGTAAGTTAACATCGCGAAGTCCTTCTGTTGCCCTGTTAGAGATGAGGTTGTATGTGGAGTAAGTCAAATGAGGATGATCCTACAACATGCTTGGCACAGGGCCTGGCATGTAGCAGGGGCTTGATACACTGTGGCAGCCGCTGCAGCAATCCTACTAGTTGTTACTGTCCAAGCAGTGTTTGTCTCTCCTATCCAGCAGCAGACTGTATGGGGGGTAGGTGTGAGGGCAGGAGTTTTGGGGACCAGGATAAAGGAGGGACTCCACTTGGCCTGGTCATTGTCAAAGTTGAGGGGCACAGAAACCCATTGTTCCACCTGACCCATGCTCAGGACACTGTTCCTTGCCATGCTTTGCCACCTGCCTCCCTCCCTGCCCTGGGAGGAGCCCAGGAGGGCTACCCTTTGTTCATAGGGGGAGGCAGATGTGGGCCCTGATGCCTCCTGGAGTCTCCTCACTGGAGGCCAGCTTTCTTGTCTCTCCAAAGGCAGCTCATCCTGTTCTGAGTACCCGCTTTGGGCCCCTGGGGAGGGGACAGCAATTAGGCATCTGTGGTGTAGTGGGCAGGAGAGCGAATCACTGGGTCAGGGGATCTCAAACATCCTAACTCATCCTGTGAGTCACTTCTCCCTGGCCTCAGCTTATTCATCTGTGAGAATGAGAAGGAGCACCCAGTGAGCTCTTCCAGAAATTGATTCACCTGCAGTGAATCCTCACAACTGGATGAGGTAGCTGCTATTTCTAGTTTGGTTTTATAAGATGAGCAAAGAGAGTCTATGAGAGGTAAGTTACAACTAACTAGTGATGGAGCCTGGAGTTTGTGGGTACCGAAGTGTGTGGAAGTCACTTCCTGGGAGGTAGAAGCTCTGGGGTGTTCAGCTACAGGGAGGGACTGGGGTAGGGAATGATGTGCCCCGGGTGGCCCAGGAAGTAAATCCAGGAGCGGATTGCAGGGCCCAATTCTCCCTTCTCTGTTGTTTCTCATCCTGCCCTCCTTTCAGTCTCCTGATGCAGCTTTCAAAGGCTGAGTCTGGAAACTGGAAGGCCAGAGCTCTTGGGGTCTCGGCTACCTCCCCTCCTCTGCCTTTCCCAGAGATGGGAAGCCCTGAGGTCTGGGGACCCTTGGGATCTTGGGGGTTACCTCCTGTAGCCTCTCCAAGAGTGGAGAACCCATTGTGGGTTGTTGGTGGGGAGGCTGTCTTGGATGGGTATGTTCTGGCGGGGCTGGGGGGTGATCCTAGAGTGAGGTGTGGGTGTTTGTGTGTGTGGAGGAGGGCAGGGTTGACACAGGAGGTGTGGGCTCCGAGGAGCCTGTTTTCTGAGGTGGGCGCTGGAGCAGGGAGGAGCAGAGAGCTGCATAGCTGTTAAGAGTATGGTCTTCACAGCTGACAGACCTGGCTCAGAGTCCCGGCTCTACTGTTTCCTGGCTGCGTCACCTTGGGTAAGTTGTTTCACTTATTTTATCTCCTCATCTGCAGAATGGAGTAAAGGTTCGTGCTGCCTGGACTTTTTCTTCTTTTTTGAGGATGAAGGGGCTATTGCACCTCATGCGCTTGTGACAGGGTCCGGTGCCATCCTAGCTTCTGCCAGGATGATGCTGGGGTTAGATAGTGGCTAAGCGGGAATCCCCCCAGCGTCTGCTCCGCTCCGCCCGGAGGCGCAGTCTGTCATCTTTGATCCTGGAGGCGCAGAGGATGCCTTCTGGGTATTACCTTCAGGGTCCCCGCGGGAGGAGGCCGGGGGTGCCCTGGGATGCCCCAGCCTGCCGGGGAGCGGCACGGCGGGCCTGGGAAGCAGCCAGCGCGGCTCAGCAGCACCCTCAGAGGCGCCCCCGCCTCCTGGCTGGGCAGGTCCGCCGGGCGGGGGCAGGGCCGGCCGCGGGGATTGGCTAGCGAGCGCGCCGCCCCCTCGCACACCAGCCCGGCAGCGGGGAGGGGAGCGCAGCCGGCAGCTGGCCGCCGCCTCCTCTGCAGTGCCTCCCTCCGCGCGCTCCCTCCGGCGGGGATAATGGGAGGCCCGCCGGCCGATGCACCAGAGGAGGCCGGCCAAGGTAGAGCGCGCGGGGCCAGGGATGGCCGGGCGGACGCGGGCCGGGGGTCACCGTCCTCTCGGATCTTGGGGGGGGTTCTCAGAGGAGAAATGAAAACAAAAACACACTGGAAGGCGGAGGAGCCCGTCTGCTGTGACCCGGGAGGCAGCTGAAGGCAGGAAGATGGTCCCCGATAGCCTTTCTTTCCCAGGCTGCATCCCCTCCCGTTCGCCTCCTTTCTCTCCGGCCGGGCTTGGGGGGCTGTAGCAGGAGGACTTTGCTGCCTTCCCGGTACCCGCCTGGCTCAGACGTTCCTCTGGCTTCTTTTGCAGGTGGAAATAAAGGCTGGTGAAGGAGCCGGGCCGTGGGGACAAGGAGCGGCTGTCAAGGTACCTTGTGTGTGTGCGTGCGTGTGTGTGTGCGTGTGTGTGGTGGCGGTGAAGTGTTTGACCGGATTGGATAAAAATAAAGGGTCTCCTCTGGTGATCCCTTAATCTCCCACTGTGTGTGTAGCAGCAGCTGAGGGGGAGGGGCGGCGGGGGTGTGGGCGGCCAATGAATTCTCAGGCCTGTGTGGGTTTTGTTTGGATTCTTTTTGCTTTCTCAGCTGGATGGTTTTGGGTGCAGTTGGGGTTTGGTTTGTTGAACTGTTTTTTTTTGTTTTGTTTTGTTTTGTTTTTTTAAGACATGCAACCCACTCCCCACCCCTGCCTCTGGAAATCTCTCGAGAATGTCCCTAGCACTGTTGGTTTGCATCCAATCTGCAGAAATCCCGGGGGGGGGGGGGGGGGGGGGGGGGGGGGGGGGCGTAAGAGGGAGGGAGAATTGCGCTCCTGAGTCTGAAGCTGATAGGGTGTCATTAGTCATGCTGCTGTCACCATGGAGATGGCTGGAGAGGAGAGGAGGTGGTGGGGGTGAGGATATTTTGGGTAGGGTGGGGGCTGATGCAACATCATGACTGAGAATCCGGCGGGCGTCTGCTGTTACTCTGTGTGACTTAGTGTCTAGGGGACTGGGAAGAGAGTGTTCCCAGGTGCGTGGGAAGCACAGAAGGGGGCACTGAGCTTCTCCTTGTGGTTGTCTGGCGGGGGCGGGGAGCTGGGGTATTTGGGGCAGGGGAGGGGAGAGTCCATTGGAGTATCAGCCATTACTAGGAAATCACAGATATTCCTCCCAGGTTGGCATGGATCCTATCAGTAGGTTTCCTTGAGCTTGTCCCCCTTTTCAGGGCTAAGGAGCCACCGTGAGTTTGGGATTACTCAGCAGTATCCTCTGCTGGCCCAGGGCGGAGAAAACAGATTGGGAGGTGGCTCTGTGTGGCTGCCTTTCAAGTCCAAGAGCAGAGAGGCTGGAAGGGAGCATGGGGCAGGTGGGCAGGGTCAGGGCTTATGGGACTCTTCCTAGCGGAGAGGAAGCGTGTTCCTGCCCCTGCCTCAGCCCACCTGTCCCCTCAGCCGCAGGAGTCTTCAGGGAGCTGGAGATCTTGGTTGCTTGGGTAGCAGGTGGGTGAGCTGTGAGTGTCCCCAGATGCCCTTAGTTTCCTCCCTGGAAATTCTCTTCCCACCCCCTGGGAAAGCTGTGGGAAGCTCCATGGAGGTGCTGGAAGTGGCATCCTGCCACCTCACTGACTGGATAGGGATCCTGGTAGGGAGGGGCTCTGCTTCCCACGTGGGGGATAGGGGCTTCTGGGCAAGGCTGCAGGGTGTATCAGGAGGGCCTGGATAGTTCTCTGGCTTTGTCCCAAGGAACTTGAGGCAAGGAAGTGCTTGGGGAAAGGTGTGAATTTTGCTTCTAGAGCAGCTTCTGGGAAGGAGAAGAGCCAGGGGGCATCGGCTCCCCTGTCTAGTGGGTGTGCTTTGGTGAGACTGGGAGTAGTGGATGATCACCTGGGATGAGGTGGTGGGAGGTCCGGAGGTGACAGAGGGCAATTGATATGGGTGATACTGTGAGTGGGGAGGAGAGAGCTGAGCTCACCTCAAGCTGGCTCTCACTACACACTCTTTTCTACACTCTTCTCCGGAGCAGAACCCCCAGGTTCCACCTCTGCTTCCTCCCCTTGCCTCCTGCTGCTGCCTGGAGGAGTTGTAATCACCTCATGTGCTGTTGGAGGGGTGTGGGCACAGAGATCATAGAGTAGACCTGCTCTGTCTCCCAGCCTGGGGAAAGCAGGCCAAGGGGATGAGGACAGATGGACTCAGGGAGGGGGCAGGCCCCTCCCTCCTCTGTATCTCCAGCCTTGTCAGCCTAGAGCTTCCCACTTTGCTGGGAGAAAGGACGGGCTGGCAGGTTTGTTTACTCCCGAAAGCACCCCCTTCCGCTGTAGTGATGGCTCTCCCTGGCAGACCCGCTTCTCTTCAGCTCTTTCCAAGTGTGTTCTCCGTGTCTCCCTGCCTGTTGGCCCCAGATGGAGGCTGGTTTTCCGCAGTCCTGCTGGAAGCTCCCAGCCTAATACCCCAGCCCTTAGTGTTGTGGACGTGTGGCAAGGGCTACTTGAAAATCCAGAGGAAGCCTTCCTAACAAGTCTTCCTCCTTCCCCCTTCTCAGAGTAGGGCCTGAGCCAGCTGAGTTCTTAAAACTCTGAGGTTGTATCTCTGCTTATTTTTATTGTTCAGTTGTCTGAGAATCATATGCAGCTCAGGCACTGCCAACAAACACTGAGGTCTGAGTCTTCTGTCCCTGGTGCCACCTCCACACATAGAGTTTCCTTGGGTAGCCAGTTGGCTGCAGTGTCCCATATACCCAGGGTGAGGCAGTTTTGCCAGAGGCGCTCCCATTTTCAGGTCATGGTGTAAGATGGATATGTCTGATAGGTGAGCTCATCTTGGTCTGGTATGAGATCAGACCAAGACTCTGGGACACAGGACAAAGGGGGTGTCACCAGCTATATATTCCCACGAGATGGGTGCTGGTTGAGGAAGCTCCGTGGGAGAATGGTATCTAGTAGCCAGTGGGAATAGACACGTATACTGTGTGCTAAGTCCTGCCAGGGTTTCAAGAATACCTACGATGTGTGTATGAGTCCACATAGTGCCTAGCATAGGCACAGAGTTGAGCTTGGCAAATGCAAATTGACGTTTTATTGTTTGGTGCATTATGTGTCTACCCATGATATCTCAAGGAACATGCTATAGCAGACACTGTTGCTGCCACCTCCTCGCTGGCAGCCTGGAGAGGAGTGAGTGTCCAGTGCCGAGAACACCGGGCCGTCCTGCTTTCAAGGCTCCCACACGGCTCCCACACTCTGCCCCATGGGAACCCTTGACTGGCTGAGGATGTCTGGAAACTATTTTGGGATTGTGCCCAGGATCTCTGCCTTCTGTCTCTCCTTTTTACCACTGCAAAAAGTTCCCTGTTCTCAAGGACCTGTGATCCTTGACTTTCTATACACTGGGTCCTTCCCATTAGTTTTTTCTTGCCTGCTCTTCCTACTTCCAGCCACTTCTCTCTCGGGTGTGTTTATAAGCAGCAGCCAGCTTGGGGAGATATGGAAGCAGGTGAGCATGTCAAGCTAGAGAAGCGAAGGAACTAAGCAAGAGATTTCCACAGTTGAATTTGAGGATGGAGAGGAAGAGGGGGCTTTCCCCATCCTTGATAAGAACTGGAGTTAGAGTCCAGAGCTCAGCTTCATCTCCCTTGGTGACCCTCACCCTTTTTGAATGTCATGGGAGAGGGAGAGAGCCTTGTATGATATACACATGAGTGAGCTGAAGGGAGAGCCTTCCTGTCCACAGTGGTGCAGGGGCCCTGGAGCTGCCCTCAGGGACCACCGTGAGGACGACTACAGCCTTTTTGCTGGGCCTGGTGAGGAGGGGCCTGGGCACTGGGCTCCCTCCAGCTGCAGATGGAGGTTTCTGCTAGAAATGGGCTTTGTGGTCTTGCCAAGTCCCCTCCCATACCCCAGAGGCTGCAGCAAATGGTTTGGCTGGATGGGTATGGGGGCAGGGAGTATGGGAGGGACTATGGTTTGGCTCAGTTTTTGGGTCTCCCAATCCTCTTAAGTCCTCTTTCCTACCCTTGACCTCTTGGGCTTTCGGCCTCATTTCCTCTCACACCCGGGCATCTGGCAGTTAGCTGAGGACTCCCCCTTGTTCTCAATGTCTCTATAGCTTCGGAGAAGGAGCTAGATTAGGAAGCCTTTAGGCAAATAGGAGGCAAGGAAAGCTTGGAGGATTAAAATCTGTAGATTATTGTACTCTCTAGGACTATTATCCCCATCCCTATCTATTTTCTCCCGCTTTCTTCTTACCTTTGTCTTTCAACATCCACCAAACATTTATCATTTTCTAGGTACAGCATTAGGTCCTGAAAAATAAGAGAAATCATTATTATTTGATCTCATGAAACTATTGGAAGAGACATTGACTGAACTATTACCTAAAATTATAACTCTTGAGTGGAAAAGCCAGCACTGGCAGCTTTTGTGTTTTATATATTGAATGCTTTTGACTTAAGCGTTGTGTTTGGGGCTGTGAACTTGCACATGGCAGACAGAATCCTCACCCCAGATGCACCCAGCACTTTACATTTGCTTTCTCTCTGGCTCAGAAAACCTCAAGGGACTTTGAAGGAAGATTCAACATGCCAAGTTTGTTTTCAATAAGTCAGTGTTTCCGGGATCTAGCAATGACAGAGGAGGCCAGTGGGGTCAGAAATGGACTAGCTGGGAAGGGAGCTTAGTTTTGAAAGGCACATGTTGGTGTTAGATGTTTCGGATTTGAGATTCTGAAAGCTGGATGGAAATACTGTGCCTGAGCAATCTACCATGAAGCTGAAATTGCCTTTGACTCATTTAGAGTGTGGGTCCCACAGCCCTTACTGCTTCAGGGACTTCAGTGAGGTCCACTGACTGAGAGGAGGAGGGTGAGAAGTGTGGTTGTTAGTTTCCTTTCACCCTGTTTTCTATGCTACTCCTACTCTTGGGTTCTGTCATTAGCCATGGGGAGAAGGTCACTTACTGCCTTTGGACTTCAGCTTTCTGGGTAAAGTAAGGGGGTTGCTTTCTGAAGTTAAGTTTTTCTCAGACTAAATCTGGGGAAGGACCACTTTTTGTGTTTTTGTTTTTTTCAGTGTTCCCAAAAGATTGCAAAACCAAAACATGGTCCCACTTACTTTGTACAGCGAGTTTGCAGCTGCTGCACGTGTGGCCCAGCACCATCCAAAGTGGTCTGTGAGACATTCAGTGAGGCAAGCCAAGTGATCATGCCCTTGGATGTCGTGATAACTTTAAATTGCTATAAAGGTTCCTAAAGACTTCCTCTTGGTTGCTGCATTTATGTTGTGGTGGATTGGTGTTAAGCAGTTTACGGGCCATATCCTGAATAGCACTGCTTTTGAACTTTTTTCTGGGAGAGCATAGGGTCTCTGTTTTGATGCCTCCCCACCCCTTCTGG